ACGCCCCTGGACTCCCCTGTGAAGGCTCAGCCACTTACCTGCCCAGAAGGGGGCGGCCTGGTTTAGTGATGTGGTTTCCCCTTAAAATTATGCTCAGTGGTTCTTTTCTTCACTCATGCAGTGACAGCACAAAGCAGGGGTGGGGAAGCTAAGGCCTGGGGGCTGGATGCGGCCGCTGGCTTGCCCGGATCTGACCCCTGCGGCTTAAGGCCTCCTCCAGCGTTGGGAAGCCTGCGCTGGCCCTCCAGGCCCCTGCTGCTGCCCCCCCGCAGCCCGCAACTGATTTTTCTGTGGATCAGCATCTTCGGACTCAAAAAACCTTCCCCTCCCCTGCTCTAAAGAGCCTGAGTCAGTCTGCGACTGTCCTCACTGAACTGAAACCAAAAGCAGCGAATAGTTTCTGTTAAACCAGTGGATCTGCAACAGACCATTCTCCATAGACACTGTTGTCACATTATTGGATTTTGAGGGGAGCAGCCAGGTCACTGCTGCACCAATGGGGGGGGGTGTTCGCCCCAGAAGTGGTACAAAGGGGGCTATATGAGGTGTCAAACAAAAGCTTACTTTCTACTGATTCTGTATATGCTTTTCATATATCTGTATAATGTCTGGGTGTGGAGTTATGAATCTGTACTCTGTATGGACACTGGAAGTTTCTTGGTATGTGGTTGAGCGATGGGCTCAGCCTATGGACATGCTAATTAGCAAGGCTCCAGGGACAATAGGTCTCTTAAGTACCAGAGATCCACCTATGAAGGAATCTAGATGCCTGGTCAGAGACCATGTGACTGTCTCCAGCTTGGAAGAAGCCAGGAAGGAGGTATAAATAGGCCATGTGTCCAACTCTATCTTGGTCTTCAGATCTGCTCCTGACCCCAGATGCACGCTCGCAGGGAATCACGAGCCGGGAAGAACTGTGGACCCATCCGGACATAGGATGTGCACCAAGGACTTTTCAGCCAGCAGCCATAACATCTCTGCTGCAAGCCTGCATTGAGAACTGGGAGATTCGGTGCATGTAATGTATGATACTTTAACAACCTTGCTCTCATGCTTTTTTTCCATGTAGTAATAAACCTTTAGATGGTAGATTCTAAAGGATTGGCTCAGCGTGATTTGTGGGTAAAGTCCAGAGGGTAAATTGACCTGGGATCTGTGGCTGGTTTCTTGGAACCGGACAGAACTTGTTTGGGGTAGGTGGGATTGGATTCTAAAACCCCTCACCTGTGTATGAGGCCTGGGGCCATCTGGGGCACGGATATTGCTGGGGTGTCAGAGGGGTTTTGCTCGTGAGGCTTCAGGCAGGCAGCTGAAGCGCTCGGTGGGACTGGTTTGTGGCCTGTTTGGGAAGGTCTCCAGTGTGGGGGCTGTAAGGAGCCCCGAATTTGAGCAATTCGCCCTGAGTGGACGCCCTCAGTTGTGCCCAGATCCAGCTCGGTCTGTCACAACCGTAATAGAAGCCCCTCTTAAATGTATACCCCAAATTAAAAAACACAATAAGAGAATCAAAAAAATAGCCACTATGCTTTAACAAGCAGGTAAAAGAAGCAGAGAGAGAGAAAAAGGCATAATTTAAAAAGTGGAAGTTAAATCCCAGTGAGGAAAATAGAAAGGAGCATAAACTCTGTCAAATTAAGTGAACAAATATAATAAGAAAAGCCCAAAAGGTGTTTGAAGAGAAGCTAGCCAAAACTTCAGAAAGTCGTAGCAAAATGTGTTTTTAGTACATCAGAAGCAGGAAGCTGCTAAATGACCAGTGGGCCCCTGGACGATTGAAGTGCCAAAGGAGCACTCAAAGATGATAAAGTCATTGCGGAGAAACTAAATGAATTCTCTGCTACAGTCTTCACGGCTGAAGATATTGGGGAGATTCCCAAACCTGAGCCATTCTTTTTAGGTGACACATCTGAGGATTTGTCCCAGATTGAGGTGTCATTAGGGGAGGTTTTGCAACAAGTTGATAAACTGAACAGTAACAAGTCCCCGGCACCAGATGGCATTCACCCAAGAGTTCTGAAAGAATTCAAATGTGAAATTTCAGAACTAACAACTGTGGTTTGTAACCTATCCTTTAAATCAGCTTCTGTACTTAATGACTGGAAGATAGCGAACATGATGCCAATATTTAAAAAGGGCTCTAGCGGTGATCCTGGCAATTACAGACCAGCGAGTCTAACATCGGTACTGAGCAAATTAGTTGAAACTATAGTAAAGAATAAAATTGTCAGACACACAGATGAACATAATTTGTTGGGGAAAAGTCAACATGGTTTCTGTAAAGGGAAATCCTGCCTAATTAATCTACTGGAATTCTTTGAGAGGGTCAACAAGCATATGGACAAGGGGGATGCAGTAGATATAGTGTACTTAGATTTCCAGAAAGCCTTTGATAAGGTCCCTCACCAAAGTAAGTTGTCATGGGATAAGAGGGAAGATCCTTTCATGGACTGATAACTAGTTGAAGGACAGAAAACAGGGGTAGGAATAAATGGCAAGTTTTCAGAGTGGAGAGAGGTAACGAGTAGAGTCCCCCAACGTTATGTCCTGGGACTCATTCTATTCAACTTATTTATAAATGATCTAGAGAAAGGGGTAAACAGTGAGTTGGCAAGATTTGCAGATGATACAAAACTGCTCAAGATAGTTAAGACCAAAGCAGAATGTGAAGAGCTTCAAAAAGATCTCACCAAACTAAGTGATTGGGCAACAAAATGGCAAAAGAATTTAATGTTGGTAAATGTAAAGTAACGCACACTGGAAAAATTAATCCCAACTATATATACACAATATGTTGGGGACTAATTTAGGTACAACTACTCAAGAGAGAGATCTTGGAGTCATTGTGGATATTTCTCGGCACACATCCACTCAGTGTGCAGCGGCAGTCAAAAAACCAAATAGAATGTTAGGAATAATTTAAAAAGGGATAGAGAAGACAGAGAATATCTTATTACGTCTATATAAAACCATGGTACGCCCTCATCCCAAAAAAAGCTATGTTGACATTGGAAAAGATTTTTAAAAAGGGTGACAAAAATGAGGAGGAGTTTGGAACTGGTGCCATATGAAGAGAGAAAAAAAGTCTTAGACTTTTCAGCTCAGAAAAGAGAAGACTATGGGGGGATAGGATAGAGGTCTACGAAATCATGACTGGTGCGGAGAAAGTGAACAAGGAAACATTATTTACTTGTTCCCATAATTTAAGAACTAGGGGTCACCAAATGAAAACAACAGGTAGCAGGTTTAAAAACAAGTAAACGGAAGTTTTTCTACATGCAGCACACAGTCAACCTGTGGAATTCCTTGCCAGAGGATGTTGTGAAGGCCAGGACTATACCAGGGTTCAAGAAAGAACTAGATAAATTCATGGAGGTTAGGTCCATCAATGGGTATTAGCCAGGATGGGTAGGAATGGTGTCCCTAGACTCTGTTTGTCAAGGGCTGGAAATGGGTGATGGGGGAGGGATCGCTTGATGATTCCCTGTTCTGTTCACTCCCTCTGGGGCACCTGGCATTGGCCACTATCAGAAGACAGGATCTAGGCTAGATGGCCCTTTGGTTCTGACCCAGCATGGCCATTTATTCTTATGTAAATAAATTCCACCCCGATGCAGCCTGCCTTTTCCTACTCCTCTCATGAGGAGGAGGTGGAGAAAGGTCAGATGATGCCCTCAGACCGAATTAAAAGGGTCTCAGAGAGCCCTCCTCGCTGGACGCCAAGGATATCCATCACGTGTGTCTCCAGGGCCTGACTCTCTGCAGTCCCGTGTACTCAGGGTACCTCTTCATGGAGGTCGAAGTGCCCGGCCCTCTCTTGGGAAGGCAGGAAAGCTTTTAGCCAGGAGCTGAAGCAAACGGGAAGCCACAGAAGGCTCCCGCCCTTTCGCTGGGCTGCCCTGCGGAAGCACAGAGCCCGCGGGAACAATGAAGTGCGGTGCCTGAGGAGCCGGACAGAGCACCAAACCAGCCAGCAGCATCACTTTTGCGGAGGTCAGCCAGTGAAGAACAGAGGCAACTGGCAGGAGGGCCCACGCCGCAGTTTGGTTTGGCAGCTTCACAGCTCTAAGAGGCGCTGGAGAATCCCTGCAGACAGACGGGGCTGACCCCTCCGTCTCAGACACCATTAGGCAGCAAGTCCCTCGTGGGCTCTAACAAGAGGCCTCTGTCCCGGCCATGCCAGAGTGCCGGCCGTACTCACTGCAAGTCCCTAACACAGCGGAGAAAATGCTCTGCCATGGCCGGGCACGGCGAGGCTGGGGTGCAGATGTTTGCATTTCTTTCTGGCATAGAGGCCCACTGCAAGCTCCCAGAGAGCCCAAGGGCTACTCCCCCAGTGCTGCCCAAAACCTCCATCATGAGGGGCAGCAGCCTGCCCCCTAACTCTGCTTCTCCTGCCACACACCAATGCCCCTCCATCCTGACTGGCAGCGTCCCCACTCTGAGCTCTGCCAACGCCCTGAATCCTGACCGGTGGCCAGGGCCAGCTTTAGGAAGTGTGGGGCCCCATTCAAATGGGGCCCCGCAGCAATTTTGGTTGAGAAAAAAAAAAGAAAAAGACACAAAAGTTTCAACGGGGGGGCCCAGGAATTTTTCTGAGAAAAAACAAACAAAAAAACATGCACACAAAAAATCCCCCACCAACACACACACACACACACACACACACACACACACACACACACACACACACACGGGGCTGCCGCCCCCTCCTGCAGCACACCAGGCAGCACACTTCCGGGTTCAGGGCGCGGGGCCCCTTTAGGCGCAGGGCCCGATTTGGGGGAATCGGCCTAAGGCCAGCCCTGCCAGCAGCACCCTTGTCCTCCCACCATAGCCCTGTCAACTAACTCAATCCGGACCAGAGGCTTCCCCTGCAACCCAGTGCGCCTGACTTTGGACAAACTTTTCTGAGGACTCGGTCCCCAATGAGGAAGCCAACACGCACTGGACTAAAACGGACACGGACTACGATCTCACCACCTTCAGCCAAAGGTGTGTACCTGGGACACGAACGCCGTGCAGGGGGTTCGAGAGCGCCATTCCGACCTCAGTCATCCCGTACCTCTCCAGCAGCGTATGCCCGGTGATGTGCTTCCACCTCTCCAGCACTGGCACGGGAAGGGCTGCAGATCCCGACACCATTAGCCTGTGCAAGGGAACGCCATGCGGTGAGCATCCCCAGTACCTGCTTTGCTCTAGAGAATCACTGCGGTCGTCCACGCAGCCTTTGACTTGGGGGGGCCTCTGAGCACTCAGCGGTGGCAGAGAGGGACACCCCCCCACAGACCCTCCGTCACTGGTGGCGGGAGTCTAGACTGGACGTGTTTCCAACAAGATACCCTCTGGCTCACAGAGAACGTACGGGCTCGATGCGGAAATTCCTGGGCGAGGCTCCCTGGCCTGGGTTATGCAGGTCAGGCCGGAGGATCAGAAAGGCCCCAAATAGGAATCGCTCTCGCAAGTATCGCCAGCCCCTCTTGGCAAGGAGAGAAGTGAGGCAATTTGCCCAGTATGGCGGCGTGGACTAGGGATGTTACATGTCGACTAATCAGCTACACGAGTGGTCGATGGAATTTCCATCAATTAGTCGATAAGGGGGGGCGCTCATTATCCCGCTGCACCTCTCCCGTGGAAAAGTACAAGAGCCTCCAGCGGCTCCTGTACATCCCACAGGGAGAGGAGCAGTGGTCAACCGGCACAAGCGGGACTGTTTCAATCCCCGCTCGCGCCATTTCCCCGCTACCCTCTGCCTCCCCCTGCTCCCTGCGGAGACGGTGCTGGTGGGAGGGGGGGGGGGCGACAGCTCATTATCCCGCTGCACCTCTCCCGTGGAAAAGTACAAGAGCCTCCAGCGGCTCCTGTACATCCCACAGGGAGAGGAGCAGTGGTCAACCGGCACAAGCGGGACTGTTTCAATCCCCGCTCGCGCCATTTCCCCGCTACCCTCTGCCTCCCCCTGCTCCCTGCGGAGACGGTGCTGGTGGGAGGGGGGGGGGGCGACA